AGATTTCAGGTGTGCTTCACACTGTATTTAAAAGTTCAATTGATGTGTAAAGGTGTCTTTTCTTGTGTTGGGGCAATAAACAGTTATTCTCTTTATATAAATGAATAAAGACATTAAGCTAGTTTATTATTTAATTGTGTTCATCTATAAGTGGAAAATGAATTGTGTTATCAGTCCTCTGAGTATGTGTTCTTTTACTTGTAAATGACCTTTATTAGAAATAACATCTTTTTAAATAATGTAATAGTTGTGTAAAATAAGGTATTTTAAGAGAATACTGTCTTGTTTTTATAAAATTAATACATGCTCAGAAATGCAACAATAGAAAAGTACTGATAGCAAACAGGAAAGATAAAAAACAATACTTAAATGAAGTAGCAAAAACAAAAATCACTCCAAAATGTTTCCACCCAGAAAGAATTATCATTGATAACTATCATTCCAAATATTTAGATATTCACAGAGGTGAAGCTAAAACCATTTGTATGCATCAGATCAAGTTTTCTTTATCTCGACAGTTTCTAAAATACTTTCTCATGTTAAGAACTGATGAAAAACGCTAAAAATTTATCATCCTTTGGCTTTATACTAAAATTCAAATATAATTTTTAGACAGTATTAATGGCTACTATACAATGAATGGTAACAAAATTAACACTCATATATGCCTCCAACTCATTTTTTATTTATGTTATTTTCACTTTTTAAATGTTTATGGTTATTACCATAACCTCTACAGTATTTAGTACTAGTTCTTTACATAAAGGAATCAATAATGTTTTAACTGCAACTTCTCCATTTATTTCTTGATTGGTTGTGTTTCATTGTTATTTTCTTTTTTTCCCCCCAACAAGTGTGAGAATATTCTTATTGCATTCATAATTAACTAACTGCTGAGGTATAGTATTTTTCAGTCACACGTGTCCTCAGAACTTGGTGGGCATTTTTCTAGTGTCGTGAATGTTTGGTATTGAATGTTTGTTTCGTTCATGACTTGCCTGTTCTATTTAGTGTCTGAACAATTTTTCTCTATGACGTAAGTAATATGGCTTAGTCTTTGTCTTATGATTTACCTTTGCCTGTACATTCAGTTCTTTCTCCTATTTCAGGAAAATGTTTGTTTAGTACTTTTTTTCTATTCAGTTTTTTGGGGCTCTCCACTTCAGAGACGCCAATTATACTTATGTTTATGGTCTTATTTTTTCTCTTATAGTGTAATATCTTTCTTCCTCCTTTTTTGCTCACTGTGATTATCTTCTTTGCTGTTTCTATTCAATAGTTCTCTCTTTTTTTTTTTAATTGAGGAATTGGGGAAGGGGAACAGTATTGGGGAATTGGGGAAGGGGAACAGCCAAGTTGCTGTCCTTCAATCTTAGTTGTGGAGGGCACAGCTAGCTCAGCTCCAAGTTCAGTTGCAATCCGACCTCCTGTCTGCAGTTCGTGGCCGCACAGCTCAAAGTGCCGTGTTCAATCTTAGTTGCGGGTGGGCACAGCCCACCATCCCATGCGTGA